CGATTGTCTACAGGCGAGTCAACATCAACGGTAGTTGAGATGCCGCTGTGCTTTGGTTTATGTGGAAATTTCGAATCTAGTTCAATTAGACTTGAACTAGATTGGGCCCGCTCTACAAGCTGGCTAAAACCGGGCCCTTGCCTGGGGCTATCTAGCGCCATATTTGGTCCAGGCTTCAAATTGACTGGATACTGACAAAAAGTTTCGCCAGGATTGGACCAATTAACAGTCGAGACTTTAGGAATAGTCCCAACCGATCGATTTGTAGTCAATGGGGTTCGAAAGGCTGACTTTTCATGTGAAAAGTTGTTAATCGGTTGATTAATTACGTCAGTGTGTAAAGGTGTCAAAAACTCTAAACCCGATTGTGTTACGGAGACGTCGCTAGTAGCGCCATCTATTTTCGCGGTCAAATTTTCATAAAATTTTGGCAACGAAAAATCAAATTTTGGTTTTTCAATAGTCGATGTCATTACTCCCGGTTTATAAAAATGAAGTAATTCTAAAGGTGGAGCCACTTGAGTGGTTAATCCTAATGGGCCTGGAGTTTCAGAGACTCGTGAATAAGAAACCGAATTGGCTACGGTTGACCCTACTGTCACAAAAGAATGAATCGAACTAGTCGTGGTTATTGTGGGAAAAAGCGAATTCTGCGTACTCAAAACCGTAGTTGAAAAACCTATTGCATTTACTTCATAAATAGGATTTTTAATTATTTTGTGTACTTGTTCTGATAAATCAAAACCAGTGTTTACAGGGCTTAATTCAAATTGAATTTCATCTGAGGGAAGCCACTCCACCGATCTATCGCCGGAGGAAAAACGCAAAAACCGCGAAGCACGATCTCTCAGCGTTTGAAGGGTTCCGTGTGAATTAACCTTAAACGACTCCAAATAATTTTGTATTTAGTCAACTGACCAATTGTCAAATAAATTTGACCTGATATTATTTGGGGAATTCATTTTTAAATTTACTTCTCAGTTAATTCGTAAAATTAATAAAAAATTTTCTTTTTATTGGGATTTATGGATAGGAAATGGTTCGCGACGTTCTGCCAAAGAGCTTAGACCAATTTTATTTCAAGTCAATTTTAAGAAATTTTCATTTTCAATTACTTCACTGATGTGATGTAACAAATTTTTTTTTAGTTTATCACAGTGATATTAATTTACGATAAACAAAATAATAAAAAAATAATTTTTATCATTTTGAGTTCAAGAAAAATTAATAAAATAAAATTTTTAATCGATACTAAACTCGTTACAAAACTGCAGAGCAGTCGGACCAATCCAGGAAAATTTTTAAGGAATTTTTATTTCACAAGAAAATAATCATACGAACAAATATTTCACCATATTAGAAAACATAATAAATAAATAATTGTCATTTTATCAAATTGTCACCAATAATATTATCAAAAAAAATAATTTTTATTTTTATTTATTTATTCTTATTTAAATTCAATTTTTGATTCAATCATCAATATATTTATTCTAGAAAATTTATTTATTGTAAAAATAAATTATCTTTCAATTGTGATTCTCAATTTTGTGCTTATTCAGTGAATTTACCAAGAATTGATATTATACACGGGGCCTTGTTGTTGGCCTAGTGACGCACTAATTTTTGTTTACTCGATTTGTCCTTGAGAGACCATTTTTAATTTTCGAATTTTGACAAAGAAATATTTTTCACAATTTAATTTAGATTTATTTAATTTAATAATTTATTTAGTTTCAAAATATCAATTCTTAGTTTTAACATTTGACATTTTCCACGATTCAGAAATTTTACTTTGTTTCACGAATATCATGGTGATTTCCTCGCGCGCGCTACGTTGGTCGCCATTTATAACGGGTGTCTTACTATTGTTGTTAATATTTGAGAAATTATTGTTAACTTTATTTCTCTAAATGAGGTTATTTTATTTCAAGAATTTATTTTTGTTTACTTCAGGATCAACTAATTAAATAAAACACACGTTACTTTGTTGTTTGAATTTATGCCCGAACGCCAGAGATATTTTATGGAAAAATATTCAAACCTAATATTTTAATTAATTTTATGCTAGCTGAATCTTTTCAAGGAGAGCGCAGGGTAAGAGAAATCACCAGTTAATGTTTAAATTTTGATTTAATAATAATAAATTACAGGTCCAGACGGGACCTGTTCAAATTACAGAAATGTCGTGAAACAAAGAAATTTGACATTTATTAATTCTGATCGATATTCACAGGGAGATAACACATTATTACTCTTGAGACTCACCGGAGATGCGCCGACGTCCCCTCATTGTTCCTCGGCTCATCTTATTAGGATGTTTACACACAATAATGTAATTTTAATTTAATTTTTATTATGAAAATGGTCTACTGCGACCTGCCACCAGAGATGGGAAGTGACGCGTCACTTTAGGTTTTCTACGTAAAATACCTCAAACGAAGTATTTTACGTAATAAACTGTAAAATACTGTATATTACACGTTCAATATGGCGGACTTATTATTATTTTCAATTTGACCGTTTGACGTCCTGTTTTTTTTATGTTTTTTAAATAACACTGTAATTATTTAAGATTTAAAAACCTTTTATTACAAAAAAGTGTATTATTAAACAATGTCTAAGGCAAGAAAAAACGATTTTCTTGAGAAAAACCGGCTCTCTTCAACTCCATATAGTCATATACCATGGTCAGAATTAAATTTTGAACGACAGTTGATAACAGTTAACAATCAAACTAATAAAGTAATAGCAAAATGTTTGATTTGTAACAAAAATTTACAAAATACTGGCTACAAGAGACTTCAAGCTCACAGGTATTTTAAATTATAATTCATAACAATCTATATGATCTGAAAGGTACTTTAAAAATCACTTGTTATTTGTGAAATATTTACTGGTCATATTACGTTGTTCTAAAAAGATTTTTATACATTATTTATAATTTTTTTAGGAATGTTTGCAAAGAAAAAACTGTTTCTACTGATAGCCACATGATCAACCTTGACATTTCAGAACAATTTACTGGTCAGAATATACCTAATTCCACAACTAATCAAAATCCACAAGTACGTATTTCAATATAAATCAACTATTTTCAAAAAACTTCTCATTAATTCTAAAAGTAATTAATTTTAAATAATTTTTTAACATAACTAAAAAACTAAAACTTAATTTTTTAAATGTTAAAAAACCAAACAAATTTTTTTACAGGACAATCCAGAGCCGCAAATTTCAAATTTTGAATCATTTGAAAATTTATCAGAGACAGATGAACATTTAGGAATGTTTTTTTTTGGATGCGGAATTCCATTTGCTGTGGTAGAAAATGAGTATTTTTTAAAATTTGTAAAGAGATTGAATCCAAATTATAAACCGCCTTCTAGAAAAACGTTGTCTAATTCAATTTTAAACAATGTTTACGACAAATTGATAAATAAACAATCGTCTTCTGAACCTCAGGAAAGCGTTCTTCTCATCGACGGTTGGAAAAATAAAAATAAAAATGAAAAATATGTCGTAGCATCAATTCACAACGCTGATGGGAAAAAATTGTTTTTGAACTCCTGGGATTTCACAGAAAGTAGTGAAACGGCTGTTAATTTAAAAAAAGTAGTCGAAGAAGCAACAATCGACGCTAAAGCAAAATATAATGCCGAAATATATGCAGTTGCATCAGATAATGTTTCGTCAATGATTTGTATGGGGAAAATGCTGGACCATTGGCATGTAACATGTAATAGTCACAGCGGGAATTTGTTGGCGAAGGATTTATTAGAAACTGATTTTAATAAAAAAGCTCATCGAGTATTAAAGGAATTCAAATCTTCAAATTTGGAAAAAAAAATTATTGATCGTGGTGGTGTGAGGATTCTTTTACCGGGAGAGACAAGATGGTGCAGTTACAGAGACTCTTACCGATGTATTTTAAGAAATTTAGATTTTATGAGGCAAATTGTTACTGAAGTGGAACTACAAGATAAGCAAGAGGTAGTTAATTTAATTTTGGATAAAAAATTTGAGGATGATCTGCAGAAATTTACAATAATTCTTGACGGACCCTGTAAATTGATTAATGAATGTCAGAAAGCTGATTCTAACATCGCAGATGCTGTGGAAGAATGGTTGAAGTTAGAATTTCCACTTCATGATGAGAATTATGAGTTAATTCTAAATGCTCGTCTTAAAAAAGTACTGAAGCCAATTAATTTAGCTGCGAATATTCTACATCCTATTTATATGGGTCAGCTTTTTTCTACAAATCAGGACTACAATGAAATGGCCAACAACTTTTTCAAGCAAAACTTAACTGAAAGTGGTTTAGCTGACTTAGCTGTCTATAAAGCTCAAGAAGGTATTTTTTCAGTTTTAAAAGAAAAAAGCATAGATAATCCAGAAACGTTTTGGACTTTTGCACAACCTCACCATCCTTCCTTGTCACTCTTAGCAAAAAAATTGATGAGAATTCCGAGTTCAACTGCGGAAATAGAACGTATATTTTCTCAGTGGGCATTCATCCACAGTAAACTTCGTAATCGTTTAGGTCAAGAAAAATCTAAAAAACTAATTTACATTTATTATACCTTAAAAGTAGAAAATGTTTTTGTGAACGATCAGTTTTAGTTTACTGTTGATTTGTGTATTAACCGCTTATACAAAAATTTAATAAGTTTTAAGAAATTTGTAATAAGTAAAAGTACAATTGAAGTTTGTATTATTTGTGTTTTATTATTTCATACATTATAGATTTCTCTGATGGCAATAAAACTTTATTAAAACATTTGTTTTTAACATAAATATCTAAAATAATTCTAATTATTGTTTTTATTATGCTTTTTGTGAAAAATTATTTTCTTAATAAGTTTTTCTAAGAACTTAATAAACTATTATTAAATACTGTGTCTTTTGAACATTTTACACACCGAAACATTAAACACTAGACACTTAGAGTTTTCAAAACCTTTAACATTTCAATTTTAAATACGTAAAATCTCCGATTTATTAAAAGAGTTAACATAAAACTCAACTTTCTGTTTGTTTTTAATTTTTAAAGTAATAATTATAAATAAATAACAAAAGAATAATGATATTTGGTAAAGTTAAGATGTCGTCAAGCCTCAAATTCACAATGTAGACAGTTGTTCAGAATCACGGATTCTGAGATCGTAAAATAAATTAGATAATTTTGTAAACTTTTCATTTGACAAATTTCTTCGTGTATGGAATTTACTTTTCAATTCGATTGTACAAGCTGGGATTTGCAATATTTTTTTCGCAAATAATGCTAATTCCTGACATTCTGATTCTGCAAAGCCCCAAAATGATTTAGGGGAGTCGACATTTTTTTCAAAAAGTGAACGAAAAACGCTTTTCTTTTCTTTATACAGAATTACTTGATCTAATCCAATATTGCTAAGATTTTCGAAAAAAAAGTTATTAACTTCTTTTATATCTTCGTTACATAATTTCAGACCTCTGTACTTAGGATGTAGAAAATTTGCAGTCATAGATACTCGGTGCTTTATTTTAGTCCAAAAACGATCAATACCAGATAGTAATAATATGTTTTCAGAGCAGTTTAAATTTAGCCAATCCTCACATGAGTCTGCTATTGAATAATCCTTGCTACCAAACTTTTTGATCATATCAGAGAGTAGTTCATAACACTTCAAAAATTCTGTTACTTCAGTTTCAAAAACATCACAGAATAATAGTTTCGTAATATCATTACTAAACTTATGTTTCAAATCGACTATAATTTTTCTTAAAACTTGTACATTATTTTTATAAAAGAAATATGTTTTAAAGTGTTCCAACCATAATGTGCTTTCCGATTCTAAAAGCTCAATAACATTATAATTAAGATATTCAAACAAATTCCTATTTAGACATTCGTTATAAATCTTGCAAGCATTGTTGTATAAACTAATGTCTGTAATGGAATTACCAACATCATTGGCAAATGTAACGTTACAAACTAATAACCAGACTTTTGAATTATTGTACACAAGTGATGTCGCATCTTTTGACAGAACTGCACATATTTCCAAATTATACTTAGTCCTAGCTATATCAATTGCCTGTGTAATTATTTCTTGAGGTTCAAGTATAGTTTTATCATCCGGGCCCGTCGTCGAAAAGGATTTTAAAAAAGTTGTATTCCCATTGAAATCTCTAGTAATTGACAAAATGCTGCTAGTATTTTCGTGAGTTACTGTATTTAAAAATAATACTCCCTCAGTAAGTGCATTTAATGTACAGCGTTTTAGAAATTTTTCATATGACACATCCAAAAAATAAGACAAAAAGTCTTCCGCATTAGGTGGAATATAAGCTGGTCGTAATAGTTTTATAAAATTCTTGAAATAAATTGATTTCACAATATTAGGATCTATGTTACATCCAAACAATAAATCAGAAAGTCCTTCATCGATCTGTGTTTTTTCAGCTTTATTGATTCTATCCATATATGGTTTGATTTTTCTTTGTCGCGAAACAGATGGGGAAGCAAAACGAAGTTCCTTATTGGAATTAACTGTAGACTCTGGTTCGTTGGTTGAACTTATATCTAAATTAAGCGATTTATCAATCTGAAATTATTAAAAATTTAATCAAACATACAATGAACAATTTGAGTAAGATTATTTTTCGGAAACTATATCATATTTACAAAAAAGTTTAGTTCCAATAAACTATTAAAATTTAAATGTAATTTATTTACTTACAAATATCTTTTTTAATTTATTATTTTATATCGAAATTTACCGTATTGTTATTCAGTGGAATTTTTTCAACAATGTTATCAAGACTTATTGACATCCTTGTAATTGCAGAATTTCGCGTTGAATCCACGTCCATTTCATCATGATCCTGATGATTTTCTTCGTTCTCCGGAATAATGCAGATTTTTCTTAATAATAATATAAATATTAAATCATTAATCAAATTAATTATTTGTAAAAAATATAAAGGTTTCTTTAACTTACCGATGGGACTTTAAGCGTTCTTTAGCTGTATTTTTTAAAATTTGGTTACATCCTTGGCAAAGAGCAACACTCTTGCCATTTTCTTTTTTAAATATAAAAGAGAATTCGTTGTAACTGTTGTGCCGTGGCCTACCACCTCTGTTCATTTTAATTTATTTTTTTAAACTAATAAACAAAACAAGTAAAATGTAATCTAGAGGTTATGTTTACATAGCGACAATCAGTGTCTGTCAAGAATCAAGAAGGTTATGATCGCAAACATTGATGTATTTTACATCCGGTAAGAAACCAGCTACGTAAAATACGTAGTAAATTACCGTAAAAAACCAGGTAAATTACTTCGAGTATTTTACGCGCCCATCCCTGCCTGCCACAAAGACGCCAAAATGAGAATGAATTAAATGGCCGACGGGGACGCCGAAGCAGACGCGCATCTCTGCTTCGTGGTGAGTCTCACGCGCACTCTTTACAAGATTTTCATATGGTAATCGATGCGCGACCGTAAGTAATTCTGGTCATTTATCGACCGTCGAAAAAGAGTTCATGAAAGTTCGCTTAGTCTCCGCGAGGGGCACTGCGCGACGTCGTCCGGTTCGCAAGATGGCTGCAGCCAGTGTTTCGACAGCTGATGTCCTCGTCGATGGACCTTCGCCCTTTTGCCACTTCGTATGACCCGTAATGATTACAAGTAAACACATTACTTGTTAAAATACGAAGCAATCTCTCGGCAGTGATTCCGAAGATTGAAAATCCGGAACTCGCGATGACAGTGGACATGAAATGATAAACCCAGTATCACCTTCTTATGTATACAATACTAGTGTTGACCAGCGATCTAACGGTTCGCTAAATTACAGGTTTAAATAACATAATTTCAGAGAAACTAAATTTTACAATAGTGACAAATTTAAAGTAAGTTTTCTCAGAAGGAATAAATAATTGTTGATTCTCAGTTTGACGTGAATAAGAAAATTAAAAGTTGATTATTGACAATGAATATTAATTTGTACGCGGCAAATAAAATGCCGCGTTACAATACATATATTATTATGACTTTTTACTTTTCAAATACAATATATATGTTCTTTTAAAAAATATAAATTTCAGTATTTTAAAACTGGATATTCTTTGTATTTTCGAGAAAAATCTTATAAAGACAACATATAAAGTTTCATGTGTTTTGGCATTTGTTTTGTATGTGTAGGTGCAATGTAAAAATTCTCTACTCACTTTTAATCATTTTTCTTTGTTCTTTATTTTGATATCTCAGCAATTGTCCTTCCCTTATTGTTTGTTTTCCTCCTTTGTATTCGTTGAGATGAAAATAATCTCAATTTAATATTTATTTTCTTTTGCACAATAATTAGGGACTACGCCCTTTGATTCACAAATAAATCACAAAAATATCAAGTCTATACGACTAAAAAAATATATCGTTCAGGTAACTTTGCCTGAATTAAACTGCCCAACTTAGTTACACAAAGTTTACGCGGGCCACTGCCCAGATTTCTCCTGGTCAATTCTTTTTATTACTTGAGAATTAGGTGGGGAAATCTTCAATGCAGTTTATTCTGACAGCTTGCAGAATTTGGTACTTGCAAAATTAATAAAATTGAACCACTTCGTTATTGTGCAATAATTAAAATTAACTGAAGGAAACCTTACCTTGCAATATTAAAATAAAGAAAATTGTACTTTGCTTAATTCTTTGTGCTAAATACCCGATTAAAAGTAGGTTGTTAAGAATTTTCTTAATGTTGGAAATTATGAGTATTGCCAATTAATATGTGTTTTTGTGTAATAATGTTGATTGTGTTTTTAGGTTAAAAAAATGATTAAATGGATTTTATAAAATTCGTTGTTTGTATTGAAGTATAAAGGTTACGAAGTCATATGTAACATGAACTACAATAATCGTCATATTCTGTCAAGTCTGTCCACACTTGAAGTTAGACTATTGAGCATGCTTTTGTTTTTTAATATGTTCTCACTGATAATGTAAATAATTATTTTTTTTTATATTTTTTTAATTTAATATTTTTATTTTTCAAATAATTAAGATCAAATTATGATTTGATCCATTTTTTAAGATCAATTCGTTGCAATTTAATAATTTTTACTTAACAGTGTAAATATCTTTTTAAAAAAATATTTACAAAATTTCTATTTCTTAAAAACTATAATCCAAATAATAATAAAAAATAAAGAAATAGAATAAATCCAATTTTATAAAACAATTTTGAAACAATATTCTCGATTATTTTCAAAAAATGTTAATATTTCTTGATTATTAACATTTAGTTCATATGTAGGGGAACATAGTCGAGGTCGGCCCACTTTTTGACTTTTGTTTATAACTTTTTTTAAAAATGAATTTGGACAATTGAAGTATATGGTTGGAAAGTCCTGTTTAATAGGAACATCTTTTCTGTACAAAGCAAATTGATTTTGTTTTAAAATGAAAAAGTTATAAAAATTTAAAAAAAAATTTGTAGTCAAGGTTGGTCCTTACAGTCAAGGTCGTCCATGTTTAAAATTCAAAGGGCATTAATCGTTAAAAAATAAAATAACATGTTTGGAGTTACGGAAAATTAATTCTTTATTGTTTACAGCTTGTAACTTAATGAAATAACAAAATAATAACAATAAACAGTATAAAAAAATAAATATAAATACAAAAAAAATTTTGCACTGAAATATTAATAAAATTAAATAGAAATATTAATAAGATAATCAATTATATTATGAGTTATACAGAATTTCAGTTTTTGTAAATTAAGTAGCTCGTCCTCATCTTTGCGCATTTTAAACACAAAGTGGCCAACCTTGGCAGAAAGTAACATTACCGAATTGTTGTAACTATAAGCAAATACGTTTCGGGATTCAATTTTTCACTTTGATTTTATTTCAACCATAAGTCCCACAAAATTTCTGCATGCTTGCCTTGACGATTCAATTTTTTTTATCTTTTATTAACCACTTAAGCGGCAGGGCGTCAGAATTGGTGTCGGGCGTAGAAGTGACAAAAGTGGCAGAAAGGCGTCAAGACTTGACTCCGATTTTCTAATTCTGTTAGGAGATTTAAAATACCAAAATATAGTAATCTTTTTTTTAAGATTAACCCTCACAGCACCGGGATATTCAAGATATCCCAGAGACGTCCTGGGGATATCGATTTGTTTTCGGAAGTTTGGATATCTCTGGGATATCCTAGGGACGTCCATGGATATCCAGAGGATATTCCAGGGATATCCAAACTTCCGAAAACAAATCGATATCCCCAGGACGTCTCTGGAATATCCTGAATATCCCGATGCTGTGAGGGAAAGAATTCATAAGTCTGTTCTTTTATCTTAAAAAAAGAATACTATATTTTGATATTATAAATCTCCTTACAGAATTAGAAAATCGGAGTCAAGTCTTGACGCCTTTCTGCCGCTTCTGTCATTTCTACGTCTAACGCCAATTCTGACGCCCTGACGCTCAAGTGGTTAATGATTTTTCACATGATGCACAAAAATTTTTTTGAGTTTTTTTTTGTATCGACGTCACAGACAACACAATTTTTGATTCCAGAAAAATGTAATTAAGCAAAAAGTTAGGTTTTACTAAGACAAGCTTCGACAAGTATGCGCATAGGTGGCGCCAGTGAACTTGACAAAAAAACGCGATTGGCCTACCTAGACAGTGATGCAACCTCGACGATACTCCCATAACTATTGAATATTCATCGATTTGGAAATTAACACACAATTAACACGTAATCTCAAAATTTGAGTTAGTAAAAATCCTTACTAATTTGAATTTGTGACAGACTTTTTGCAATAGAATTAGTAAATTCAATTAATAAATGAATAGAAACTACTGTTTATTAATAAAATTTACTAACTCAAAAGCAGAAAGTAAATCACTAATTCAAGTTAGTAAATTTGAATAATAAATTAATAAAAACTACTGTTTATTAGTAAAATTTACAAAATCAAAAGTAAAACGTAAGTCACTAATTCAAGGTATTAAACTTTTATTCTGATTCTAATCAATATACTAATTTGTCGTAACATTTGATTAAAGTATTAATAGACGAAAAATAAAGTTGGAGGTGTACAAAACTGAAAATAATTAATTTTTTGGAGGTACAAAAATGAAGTTATATGCAAAGTTTTTTAAAAGTCAAAATTTTCGATTTATAAATTTTTTAGTTTATTATGTCTTGTTTTAGGAATTTTACGTAAAGAGTCTTAACACTTTTGCTCATTTAAAAGTCCCTGACTTTTCCAAGTTTACCATGTTAAAAATTAAAAAATATAATTTTTCCAGGTTCTTAAGCAGAAAGTAAATCACTAATTCAAGTTAGTAAATTTGAATAATAAAAAAAATAATAATAATATTTTATTTTTTTTTATTTTATACCACATTAAATAACACTAATAAATTTTTATAAATAAATGGAACTTTTATATAATAATATATTCAGCATTATTATAATAATTATTTATTACTCAATCCGACTGGTTACAAAAATTTAATTTTGTTTTTCGCAGATTTCCAGGTAAAATTTTGCATTTTTTTGTAAGGAATTTTTTGATTTACTCCAAAAAGTGATTAGATACTCCGAGCAATGATCTATGGCATTTATTTACGAATTTCTTTAGTTGTCAGTTTTTTTGAAAACAATAATAGTTTTATTTAAAATAAATATTTAATCATTATTATTTTTTACAAGAATCAAGAATTTTAATAATTTCAAATCTTTTTAAAATTTAACAACTTATAAAAATATTTATTATAATAAATAAAAGATGATAGAGCGATAAGATCATTATTTTATATAATAGAAATATTTTGACAGTAATTTTTTTTAAATTATTGTCATCATTTTAATTTAATTATTATTTTCTAAAATATTGAACTAAAATTCTTATTTAAATTAATTATGTTTAGTAATTTTTGAAAAAGTTATTTAAAAATTTTTAAATCCATTTTTTTATAATTTAATTTTACGAAATTTTAATTATTCAAAAATTCATCAATTGAATACGTAATAAAAATAAACAATTTAAACAATTTAAAAAAAAATTCAATTACATTTTTTCATAATAATTCTACAGAATTATTAGTTATAAGTATGAAAACTTTACATTTTCAAAGAATTTAATTTGAAACCTTTTTAAAATTCAATTATTTATGAAAATATAAGCTATAATGCTTTTAATATTTAAA